TACTTGTGACTAAAAATAGTAATTTATTGTAATAAAAACTAAATTATTTAAATTAATAATATAGTTAACAGTTATTTTAACACTTAAATTTTCTAATATTATTAAAATATGTACCCTTAATAAAATTCTACTAATAAATTATTCCAAATGAAATATTTACATAGTATTTGTATTATATTATTAATTAAACTTAATTTAATAAATAATTCATTTGGTTTGAATGGATGTGAGCGCCGGTATATCGAGTACTCGGACTTCGTATGTGTCTGTAACAGCACTTATTGCGATGACTTCCCACCGATAGTGCGGCCAAAAGCCGGTTATGTATTGCTCTATGAAAGCAACAGAAACGGCGATCATTTCAAAGAAAGTTCACTTAAATTCAAGTCATTCAATGGAAACAAGAATTGTGAGAAAAATAATTGCCTTAAAAAGGGTAAAGAAAATCAAATCATAATATCTGTGGATAAGAATCATAAGTACCAGAAGTTGTATGGCTTTGGTAACGCTTTTACCGACTCAGCCGGTTATATGTTGAGTTCAGTCGACCCATCCCTGGCCACCGCTATAATAAATAGCTATTTCTCTGCAAATGGTATTGAGTTTTCCTTCGGAAGGGTTCCCATCTCTGGTACCGACTATTCCCTGCGTCCCTATACTTATGATGACGTCTATAATGACTATAAATTAAAATACTTTTCACTACAAAGAGAGGATTTTGAATGGAAAGTATGATTTATTGCAATATAATCAATTTAGATTATGTAATAAAAAATTTCTATATTATGAAAAATAGATACCATACATAAAACAAGCACAGAGTGTCTGTCCGCATACACTTAAGCTGATTGGCAGTAACTGGAGTCCACCCGTTTGGATGAAACAAATTGAAGAGTTTATAGCTTTCAGTGAACTTAAAGGTGAAGTGGGCGGACAGTACTATCAAATTTTGGCCAATTATTATGTAAAGTATGTCACCCTAACACTTATAATATAAATTTAAAAATATATATAAATTATTTTCTAATAATTTTATCATATAATCATAGATTTCTTAAGGCATACCAAAAGAATGGTATAACATTTTGGGGACTGACCACTGAAAATGAACCGGTTCAAGATCATCACGGTAATAATTTAAAAATGACCCCTGAGCAAATCAGAGATTTTGTTGAACATAACTTGGGCCCAACTCTCGCCAAAGCCGGTTATAATAAGAAAAAACTAAAACTAATGGTTTTTGATGACGACACGCCATTCCTGAAAAATTGGACAGACATTATTTTGGCCGACAATACTCTGGCCCAGTATGTGTCGGGTATAGCCATCCATTGGTATTACAATGAGTTAATTGGTGCGAGAAATGTGTCAGAAATACTTGAATATGTTCACCACAAACACCCTGATTATTTTA